GAAAACAAAATACCTGTGATAATTCACAAGCTCTCTCACCTTTATCAGGAAAGTTCTGATGGTAAAACTGGGAAAGRTTCTCACTGAGCTGGATGATAGTTTGCAGAACACTGTGAGCGTCTGCAGCCTGCACTTCTCTTAAGACTCCATCCAAGTCACTAAATGTCAGCCATGATCGAGCCAACGGTGCAAATTCTTTCAAGGCAAACTCGGCGTACTGCTGAAACCTCTCGACCAGACCCCGACTCTCCCAGCCCCCATACCTGGACCTCAGAGAGCCTGGAACTGTGGATCCATGAATGACGACCAGAGGCTGCAGGCCCGCCTCCAGCAGCTGCTTCAGCAGGGTCCGGTAACACCTGACCACAGCCTGTCGGGRTTCGCTGGGGATCCCCGTGGGAAGGAGTCGAGCCCATGACAGCGGCACTTTGAAGTGAGTCACACCTTTGCCTTGGAGGGACTGAAAATACCGCTTAGAAAGAGGAGGCGTTGGATGACTGCAGTCGTAGGCTTCTTTCTCACTGCCGGAGGTTCTGATCCYCTGCTGGGTCAGAGGGCCCGCAAGAAGCATGAAGTCCTGCTGTTCATACTGCCCACTGCTCCGACCCCCATAAATACACAACATGTACAGACACACAACCAACAAGTACGTCTTCATCTTCATTTGTGAAGGGTACTCTGACCTCACCAAGTATTCACAAAGCWATTTAGAAGCGACATATTGCTCTTACAGCATTTTTGCACAATTAAGATAATCGATGCTGTGAAATTCCAGTGTTTTATTGTGGCTGCATGATACGGTCAGAAAGACTCTGGACTCACGGGATTGATAACTTAATCCCAGTTACAATCTTATCATATCGTTTCTGTTGTTTAAGCTTTTTAAAAAGCAGTAAAGAACAGACCACAGATTTTATAATACGGTTTAAGAAATATATTCTGATGTAAAAAAAATAAGCTTATAGAATAACAGTCTCAGCTTAAAGAAATGTAAACAGAAACTGTTTATCATCTGTTGTTTGTGTTATAAATCTGTATCATATAAGGGACAGCCAGAGGTGGAAAGATGTTAAATTTACTCACATTACCGTAAGCGAGTATAAATTTTGTTTAATTCCATCCAYCCATTATCTTTACTCACTTCTTCTTTTCAGGGTCACAGGGGTTACTTAAGTTCTTTTAGAAAAAGAAAAGTCCCACATCCACGTAATGTTGWGAGTGAAAATTAAGGGTAATACAGTTTATAAGTATAATTTTCAGATAAAGTACACATTAAAGACTAGTTTTCACTGTTTTACCTWGATAATAAACCAATTTAAGGTTTTATTAATCCTATAAATTTAGTCAAATGCTCTTCAAATGACTAGGAAATGCATAGGTTGAGTCGATTTTCATGTGCAGGACCCCTGCTTCACACCTCAGCTGCTTGCCAAAATGAACATGTGCCTCTTGCTGGTGTGATGTAGGCTTCTGAGATTCTGTTACAAATTCAGGATATGAGTGCTGACTGTTTTAGTTGGATAAAACTGTTTTAATTATGACAATTATGTATTAAATAATTATGTTTTCATACTTCTTTATTTTAATTTAATTTTTTTTTCTTTCAGAAAATTCACGATTCAGTTCAGTTTGATACTTTAGCGTCACGGTTCAATATTTTTTGATAGAAAAAAAGACAATATTCCTGGCCCTTCTTTAACTTGTAATTTATTGAATTAATTATTATGTCCATCCTGTGGTCTGCAGTGTTGACTTCAGATCCGTTTCCTTCTCTGGAATATCCATGCTGACTCAAAACTTACTGTMTGTAATCCAGCTGCAGCAGCCTGGGGGTCATTATACTCYTTCACTTTCCCATCCTCACAAAAATCTTTCAGTCTYGCTGGAAATAAAATCAACCTGCAGCACCTTTTGTTTCATGGCCTATGACTGAAATCCAACTAAATATTTCTGGGTCGGTCCTCTACTGAGTAGTTTCTCATTTTGTTTTTCCTGGCTGGAATTTCCAGTTCCTCGCATCTGTGTTGTTTTTGTGTTTGAAGGGCATGTAAGAGCATTTCATAATATTCACTCTCAGCAATTCTCTTTTCAGCTTCATCCATTTTTTAAACACTTGAGAAATCTGCACATGGCACATATAACGCTTTAGTGATCCAAAGCTATTGTTTCAGATCTAAATTATCTTAATTCTTTGAGTATTTCAGCCATACCTGTAGCTTTCACTGAAGAAACGTCCTCGGTTGTTTCCTCTTGATTGTTCTTTTTTTTGTCCACATTTGTTTGGAAGATTGCTTTTTGTTTCTTCTTGGACATTTCTCACTGTCCTCCACTTGATTTCCAGTAATCTGAAGTCTTTGAAGCTGTTTAGTCCAAAATTTAGTCCACTTTYTCGTTTAGTTGTTTGCAGAGACACTCACAAACATGCTTTCAGAGTAGCCATCTTGGAATGACTGAGAGATTTATTCCAACAAAAATCTAAAAATGAAGACCTCCAAATTTAAAACTCTAGTATTTTTCACTCTCTGAGACAGACCTTACAAGAACAGATCTTTAGTTTACATCTTAGAACAAACAATGGGTTATAGATGGGTCAGGGTGACTGTCTCGTTTTCTGTCCTTCATTTCTTCATAAAAACGTTTATGTGAGCTCAATTTCTGAAGATAAAACTCCATCCATCCATCCATTTTCTTCCACCTATCCGGGGTCGGGTTGCGGGGGCAGCAGCTTCAGAAGGGAGGCCCAGACCTCCCTCTCCCCAGCCACTTCTTCCAGCTCCTCTGGGGGAACTCCAAGGTGTTCCCAGGCCAGCCGAGAGACATAGTCCCTCCAGCGTGTCCTGGGTCTTCCTCGGGGCCTCCTCCCGGTAGGACGTGCCCGGAACACCTCACCAGGGAGGCGTCCAGGAGGCATCCTTACCAGATGCCCAAGCCACCTCAACTGGCTCCTCTCGACGTGGAGGAGCAGCGGCTCTACTCTGAGTCCCTCCCGGATGACCGAGCTTCTCACCCTATCTCTAAGGGAGAGCCCAGCCACCCTGCGGAGGAAACTCATTTCGGCCGCTTGTATCCGGGACCTCGTTCTTTCGGTCATGACCCAAAGCTCATGACCATAGATGAGGGTAGGAACGTAGATCGACCGGTAAATYGAGAGCTTCGCTTTCTGACTCAGCTCTCTCTTCACCACGACGGACCGGTACAGCRCCCGCTTTACAGCAGACGCTGCGCCAATCTGCCTGTCGATCTCCCGCTCCCTTCTTCCCCCATTCGTGAACAAGATCCCCAGATACTTAAACTCCTCCACTTGAGACAGGACGACCCCCCTGATCCGGAGTAGGCACTCTGCCCTTTTCCGGCTCAAGACCATGGCCTCGGATTTGGAGGCACTGAGCCTCATCCCGGCCGCTTCGCACTCGGCCGCGAACCGCTCCAGCGAGAGCTGCAGATCTCGTTCCRATGAAGCCAACAGGACCACATCATCCGCAATAAGCAGAGATGCGATCCTAAGGCCACCAAAACGGATCCCCTCAACACCTCGGCTGCGCCTAGAAATTCTGTCCATGAAAGTAATGAACAGAATCGGTGACAAAGGGCAGCCTTGGYGGAGTCCAACTCTCACCGGAAACGAGCCCGACTTACTGCCAGCAATGACCAGACTCTGACACCGGTTGTACAGGGACCTGACAGCCCGTATCAAATGGCCCGGTACCCCATACTCCCGGAGAACCCCCCACAAGGCCCCCCTTGGGACACGGTCGAACGCCTTCTCCAAGTCCACAAAACACATGTAGACCGGTTGGGCGAACTCCCATGCACCCTCCAGGACCCTGCTGAGGGTGTAGAGCTGGACCAGGACGAAAACCACACTGCTCTTCCTGAATCCGAGGTTCGAGTATCCGACGGACCCTCCTCTCCAGGACCCCTGAATAGACCTTACCAGGGAGGCTTAAGAGTGTGACCCCCCTGTAATTGGAGCACGATAAAACTCATTTGATCTTATATTTAGAAAATGACATTTTGTAATATTCCTCACAAGCAATGTAATGTTTTGGGTAACYATGTTTTTTTTCTAAACACCATAATCATTTCAGGATTTGAAAACTTTTAGATTGTATTAAATTAATTGGGTTTAATCTTCTACATGTGAGGGTTGCAGATGTTGGAGGAGGAWCAAATAATTAGGAGCCAGTTGTTTAACTTGTAGGGGGAAACAAAGTTCAGCACCAGTCAGGAAAAACAACTTTTAATTGTTTTATGGTAGCCCTATACTGCCATCTACTGGTTTAAACAACATCTTGCTACATCAACATCAATAGGATGCTACATCTTTTCACTACAGGGCAGTATGCTATTATACATGATTCAAAACATATTTTACAAAAAAAAAGTGAAAAATGTGGTGTACAGAAGTATTAAGCCCCCCTGAGTCAATACTTTGTGGAACCACCTGCAGCTGCAATTACAGCTGCAGCCATTCCTCCACCAGCTTTGCCCATTTGCCCATTCTTCTTTGTTAACCAGCTCAGTCAGATTAGATGGAGAGCGTTTGTGAACATTTTACGGATCTTTCCACAAATCCTTTAGGTCTGGACTTTGACTGGTCCATTCCGACATTGTGTATATGTTTTGTTGGCCTCTCAATGAGAATGTATCTGAAACAAAAGAAAGAAAAGAACATGTTGGGCATTTTTTTAATAACACTTCATCTGGATCAACTGTTTAGAACTGACCTCAGTCATTTATGGCAACACCGAAATAAAGACAAATTCATTTCATAAACTTTTTTCTTAAATTTGAAGAATATTAAGTCTGTATATTAATTATTAATTGTTAAAGTACAATAAAACGTACCGAAATAAAAGACAGTATGTCAAGATCTTTAAAAAAACTTTTAAAGAAAATAGWTGAGTTCAGTTCTGGAACATAACCTCTTAGAATAAGGGTCACTTCACGCTACATGTAATTTATGAGATTTAAACCTTGCATTTTTTTAAAACTTACAATCAACACAAGTTTTATAGATCATTTTATAAGTTGTATAATAAAAGCRGTGCTTTAAACACAAACCAAATGTTTTCATAACTGTTCACCACCCACAGGTCATAACTAGGATGAAGTTACATCAATTCAAACAATAAAACACTTGTGAAATAAATAACGGATATTTATTTACTGAAATTAGTCAGGTGATGGCAGTAAACTTGTAATCTTCTGTGACATTTTGATTGTCATATAAGCACAAACTTACATAAAACAAAACAATGCCAACAAACTTAATYTTTAAATTGGAGAATCTCTCACATTTTACATGGATGAATAAAATATATATTTTTAAAAAATGAGAAAAACTAATGAGTGTAAATATCACCTGTTTACTTTCAGCTTATGATTTTTATTTAATTATTTATTTATTTATTTTCAGGTGTTTCTCAGCGTCCAACCTCTAGGTGGCGCCAGTACGTTGTTTTCATGGTAAACACCACCTGAGACTTTGCAGGCACAAAGAGATGAAATAAAGCACTATAACTTTGTATAAATAATAATTATTGACATAAAAARGGAGTTGGGTAAATAAAGGAGATTTCATAATTATTATGTTT